TGATCTTTCAATAAATCATTTTAGCTCTTCTGAGTCTCTATTTAAATTTTAGAATAAATATTGCTAACTGCAAAAAGGATTAAGACAGAAATTGTGATAAATCTGCATACCAACTTGGAGAAATCTGGCATGTTTTCTATGTTCAATTTTCCAATCCTGGTATATGATATTTTGCTTCATTTATTTAGGTCTTCTCTGATTTCTTTCATGAATACCATGTAGCTTTCACCATAAGTTTTACTAAATTTTCAGACAAGCATTTAATTTTTAATTAGTGATTGTGAATGTTAATGAATTTTAAATTTCAGTGTCTCCAAGTTGCTAGTATATAGAAATACAATTGACTTTTATGTTTATTTTGAATTCTGCAATCTTATGAAATTCACTTTTTTTTTTTTTTTTGGTACTAGGGATTGAACCCAGGGCCTTAATGCATGCACTCTACCAACTGAGCTATATCTGCAGCCCTGAAATTCACTTTTATTAGGGGGATTTTCTGTAGATTTCTTGTAAATAGTTACAATTTTCTCTCTTACTATATCTAATCTGTAATCCTCTTATTTCTTCTTCATATCTTAATGCAATGGCTAGAAATCCCAACACTTAAATTGAATATGAATAGTAAGAGGGCACATTTTTCCATCACTAAATATGTCAGCTGTAGATGTTCAGGAATTAGTCTTTATTAAATTGAGGTAGCCCCCTTCTATTCCTACTTTTCTGACAGTTTTTGTCATGAATGGGTGCTGAAATTTTTCAAATAATTTTACTGCAACGAATGATATAATTGTAAGGTTTTTTCTTCTTTCTTTAGCCCATTTACACAGCGATTTTATTAATTTTAAAAATTTATATATAATAGCGAAATGCATTACAATTCTTATTACAAATTTAGAGCTCAATTTTTCATCTCTGGTTGTATACATAGTATACTCACACCAATTCGTGTTTTCATACATGTACTTGGGATAATAATGATCATCACATTCCACTATCATTAATTACCCCATGCTTCCTCCCTTCCCCTCCCACCCCTCTGCTATTATTACTATTATCATTATTATTTTGGTGGTACTGGGGATTGAACCCAAGGTCTTATACATTTTAGGTAAGCACTCTACCACTTAGCTACATTCCTACCTGCTAGATTACATTATGTTCGTATAGTGAACAAAATTTGCAACCTTAGAACAAACCCCACTTGATGTTGTAGTGTATAGTTCTTTTTTAATATTGCAGTATTTTAATAAGCATATTTGGGCTTATTGTATAAATGAGATTAGTCTGTAAATTTCTTCTTTTGTAGTGTCTTTGACAGGTTTTGATAGCAAGGTAAAATATTTTGTCAAATGAATTGAGAAATATTTTCTCCTATATTCTGAGAGAAAATATGTAGAATTACTTTTAATTATTCTCTAAAAATTAGGTAGAATTTTCTAATAAAAGCATCTGAGCCTAAAGGTTTCTTTTTTAGAAGACTTATAAATTTAATTTACTGAAAAGTTCTATAGGATTATTCACATTTTCTATTTCAGTTGTTATTATTTTTTATTCTTTATAGAATTGATCCACCACATCTAACATGCAAGTATGTATATGTAGAAGTATATTACTCTTATTATCCTTTAGATGTCTGCAGAGTTTGTGGCAATATTCATGTTTCTTACAGCATTTCTGATGGTGGTCACTTCTAGCCTCTTTTTTTCTGTCAGTATGTCAATTTTATTGATCTTTTCAAGAAATTACCTTTTACACTACTGGTTTTCACTATAGTTATTTTGTTTCCAATTTTATTGATTCCCATTCTTACTTCCTTTCTTTTTCTTGCTTTGGGTTTATTTTGCTTTTATTTTTTTAATTCTGTGAGGTAGAAAAAAAGAATATTGATTTGAGACTGTTCATCTTTTCTAATATATACACTTAGCATTTTCTAATATATAAATTTTGCATATAAATTTCCTCTTAGCATTGCTTTAGCTGATCCTCTCAAATTCTGGTATTTGTATTTTTATTTAGTTCAATTTATTTAGTTCAATTTCCCTTTGAGACTTCCTCTTTGACCTACAAGTTATTTAGAAGTACACTGTTCAGTTTTCAAATGACTAGACATCTTCTTATTTTGTTAACTGACTTTTCTTTGATTTCACTGTGGACATACAATGTGTTCGTGATTTCAATATTTTATCAGTTAAGATTTATTTTCTTCTTCTTTTTTCTTTTGTTAAATAAATGTATGGGACTGAACCAGGGGCACTTTACCACTGAGCTACATCCCCTGCCTTTTTTGTTTTTTACTTTGAGATAAGGTCCTGCTAAGTTGCTCGTGGTGTCAACTAAGGTACTAAACCTGACCTCAAATTTGTGATCCTTTTTCCTCAGCCTTCCAAGTTGCTAGCATTGCAGGTATTCACTACTGTACCTGGCTGTGAAGGTTTAATATGACCCATGAAATGGTGTATGTTGGTCTATATTCCATGGGTACCTGAAAAGATTATGTAGTCTGATATTGTTGGATAGTGTTCTGTAAATACCGATTAGATGCTGTTGGGCGATGGTCATGTTTAGTTATTCTATAGCCTTACTGATCACTCTCTAATTGTTCTATCAACTGTTGATAGAAAGGGGTTGAAGTCTCCAACTGTAACTGTGAATTTGTCTATTTTTCCTTCTAGTTCTATGAGTTTTGGCTTTACATATTTTGCAGCTTCGTTTCTTAGTGCATACACATTCATATTGTAATGTCTTTTTGGTATGTTCATGCTTTTATCATCATATAATGTACATCTCTGGTAATTTTTTTACTCTATAAAAACTCCTTAATATCCACAGTGCATATACTATAATCCCAGCTAATTGGAGGCTGTGGCAAGAGGACTGCAAGTTGGAGGCCAGCCTGCGCAACTTAGGGAGACCTTGTCTCAAAATAAAAATAAAAGGGATAAGGATGCAGCTCAGTGGCAAAACACTCTTATACTGAGGGGGGGGAAAAAGAATATACTAACTTCTACTTTAATATTTACATATCTTTTTCAATTTCTTTACTATTATGAACAAAGAGATTTTGTTACAGACAATATTTAGTGACCTTGTGTTTTAATTCACCCTGCTGGATTGAACCCATGTACATGAAGGCAAGCACTTTACCAACTGAGCTATATCCCAGCCCACTAATTTATCTTTTAATAGGTACATTTAGATTATTTACATTTAAGGAAATTACTGGTAATTAGGCTTTATGTCTGTCACTTTTTGGTTTTTCTTCTCTGTTTACTTTTTCCTTAGTTCCTATGAGTTACCATTTTTTAGAATTCCATTTTGATTTGTCTCTAGTGTTTTCTGAGTGTTTTTCTTCTAAACAGCTCTTTAATGGTTGCTTTGGGCATTATACACATAACATAATGATTTTATTACTTAGAAGTATAGAACCCTTATTTCTCTTCACTTCATCTTTTCCCCTTTGTAACACAATTGTCTTATATATCTTGTTTACATTTATTTTATACACTTTTATCTGTCTATGAGGCTGTATCTTTTTTTCCCCAGTGTATTCTTTGTTGTTCAGATTGGATAATTTCCATTTTTCCATTTTCTAGCTCATCAGTTCTTTCCTCTATCCATCCTATTGTGGTTATTTCAATTATTGATAGTTTTTATTTAATTGTAATATTCCATTTTCTTCTTTGTTGATATTATTTATTTTTTGCTTGTTTCTGGCTTTTTTGTAATTACTCAGTGAAATGTTACTTTGAAATCCTTACTGGGGGGGCTGGGGTTGTGGCTCAGAAGTAGAGTACTCGCCTACCATGCATAAGGCACCGTGTTCGATCCTCAGCACCACATAAAAATAAAAGATATTGTGTCCACCTATAACTAAAAAATAAATGTTTAAAAAAAATCCTTACTTAGCAGTTATAACTTTTCTGTCATCTTCATGTAGGTATCTCTTGATTAATTTTTTCTTGAGATCCTGGTTCTTGAAATGACAAGTGGCTTTCAGTTGAAATATTTATATTGGCTATTATGAGATTCCGGGTCTTAATTTAAACTTTGTGTTTTAACTGTATTCCTCTGACAGCACTCTGGGAGAGTAGGGGGGAACATGATCTCATTACTTTCAGGTAGAAATAGTAGTTCAGGCTTCCCTCTTGGACTCTGATGACAATCCAAGCAGGGCATGGGGGAGCCCCTCATTACTGCTGAGTGGAGCTGGAATTTCCAGTTTCCCATGAAGACTCTACTTATGTCTACCTGATTAGGAAGAGAAAGGCTGCCTCATTACTGCTCTCTATGTACTTCAGTGATACCATAAGTATATGGCTTTGTTACCTCTAGATGGTGGGGAAAGTCCTAGCAATCCACTAGGCCACATCAAATACCACCCCAATGGGAAGGACAATGATCACCATTGAATCTCTAGGTAAGGGCAGAAGTCCTGAATCCCCTAAGTTATCTCTACTAACACTGTGAGGAAAGAATGGGAAGAGTGAAAAAGGTGGGAAATTTTCTTACTGCCTAGCACAGGTGAAATTCCAAGCTCTCAACTCATTTGTCTGTCACCACCCCTGCAGGGGGAGTGGGTGTTAGAGCATTTCATTACAGCATGGAGATGGTGGGTGGTCTGGGGTCTCTACTTAGCTTTGGTCATTATGGATTAGATTAGGGTCAGATTTGTCTGCTATGGAGTTACTATTATTTTTCTTTCTTGGCTATACCTTTCCTGGTCATTTGGCAGAACAACAACAACAACTTTTACGGGGCTTTTTTTGGTCTATGCTCATTGGAGTTTGGGGGTTACCTGATCCTCCAACACCCAACCTGGAATACAAGGGACAAAAAAGAAATAAGCACCCAAGCAGTTCACTGCCATGTTATTTTTTCTAGACATTATTAAGCTCAAGACCTAATACAAGCAACAGCACCTGATTCATAAATATTTTTCAAGAAAGCACTTAAGCAATTAATGCCCTGTTACTGAGTTCACATAGATGCTAATAGGCAGAGGTACTATTCAAATAATCTCTGAAATACTTGAGAGTCAGAGATAATATAAACTGGTTGTCTTTTTGTTTGTGTTGGCAGTGCTGAAGATCGAACTCAGGGTTTTGCACATGCTAAGCAAGCATTCTATTTCCGAGCTATGTCCCAAGCCTGAGCATGTTTTAATGGCACCTATGTCAGCGAGAAAGGTAATATAAAAAAACTGAATACATTTAGATATATTGTGAAAATCATTCTATATGTAAATAAAATCGTTGCTGCTTTTGAAAACTTACAATCCTAACTGGAATGATCAAATAGCCACATACAGTACACTTACCTTGAGAAATCTTTTATTTTCAAAGTTTCACAAAAACATACAAATGAAACATCTATCTATTTTAATTCCCTAAATCAATTACTTCTTCCTGTTCTTGGAGAAGACGCAAATCAAGTGGTTTACGTTTTTTATAAAATAATCTTTCTAAAAGCTATTAATCTACACTTTAACTTTCATATAAAAGAAATGCATATTGCCTCTACTTAGAGATAGAACAGTTTGGGCTGGGGATGTGGCTCAAGCGGTAGCGCGCTCGCCTGGCATGTGTGCGGCCCGGGTTCGATCCTCAGCACCACATACAAACAAAGATGTTGTGACCACGGAAAACTAAAAAATAAATATTAAAAAAAAAAGAGATAGAACAGTTCGATATTCCAACACCAAGTTAAGATCAAATGAAGTAAGATGATTCAGAAAGTAATGACAAAAATCCTTTGTGCTAAATTAACGAAACCTGTCATTTCTGTATGATGATACTAGCTGAATGATGTTCAAACTATATCTGCTAACCCAAGCATCTATGGATTACAACTTGGGTTTTCTATCTAGTTTCTACTTATCAGCCAATTCCCAATTCTGATCCTCTTTGGGACTAATAAATTGGCATGCTGGCTTACAGATAATCTCTTGTGTATTGAATAATGTAAACCTCTCCCCTAGAGATAAATCACCTTTCAGCATGTTGATAAGTTTCTCATTTTGCAAAAAAGAGCATTAAAACTCTGAAAGACACCACTCCTAAGCACAACCACCTTTGCAAAATCCCATTGAACTGGATGTAGTAGTACATGACTGTAATCCCTACTACTGAGAAGGCTAAAGCAGGAGGATTGCCAAGTTCAAGGCCAACCTCAGCAACTTAGTGTCTAGTGTGCTTTAGGCCCTGGGTTTCATTCCCAATACTGTAAAACACAAATTAAAAACAAACAAACAAAAACAGCCCACTAAAAATCTAGGTGGCTTCGTGGAATGACATTTATGCAGCTCATCTCTTTAAAATGTAACTCCAGTTGTAGAAATATAGGTGCATACACTTAGTATTAGTCAAAGACCATAATGCTAATATGACTTCAATTTAGAAGTGGGAGAAATAAAACATTTAATGTTCTTAACATTAATGAAGAATTAATACTGATATCACCTAGCAGATCACAAACATGCAAATAATCCATTGTCAAATATTTTTAAGATTTTAAAATTAAATGCTCTTATAATGTGGAACTTTTAAATTGGGGGTAACATGCTAATAAATTATTTAAAGATGCCAGTGATTTTTCTGGTTAACTGCTATATATGTGAAATACATTTTGTTTACTAAAATTTAAAATTCTTTGTAAAAATTATGCACCTGCAATAAAACAAATTAAATATTTATTCTACTTGAAAATTTTACCAAAAATTTCCCAACTTTTTGTACTGTTGAATGAGAAATTAACCCAAGTGCTATTATCTGTGTTATTGCTGTTTAATAACATAAGGTCTATATTTGCAAGACAGAAAATAACAGCCCTATTTTCTGGATCCATTCTTTAGGTAACTGACAGAAGTATGATTGTTAATGTTTCTGAATAAAGGAACTTTTCCTGCACTTTCAACATGCCACTTTTAATTGAAGGAAACAAACCGAGAAGGCTCTCCCTGTCACTGTGGTATTTTACTTTCACCAGCACCACTTTGGCAGTGCTTTTATTGGAACACATTAGTAATTCCCAAATGTATTTTCTTGGCAACTTCCTCCAAGAAATAAAACTATTTTGTAAACAATTTTAATAGTATTTTTATGAAAGACCAATTGAGTCTTCCACCTTTTCAAAACACTAAAAAAAAGATTACCTCCTTTCTATTAGTCTAACGCCCCATCATTTTATTGAAAACATAATACACCTATTCTAACACCTCAAATTCACACAAAAAATCACAAATTTAAGCATTTTCACTATAAATTATTAGTGAACTACAGATAAGTTGTAACAAAACACAAAATTATAAAATAGTGCTGACACTATTTACCAAATTGACCAAAAAACAAAAAAGAACCTGAAAGAATATTGAAAAATAAAATAAAGAAAAAATGAATTGTAGGAAGGAGAAAAGAAACCAGTTTTTAAAAAGTAGAAGAAAATCACATCAGAACTACATACAAAGACTGCAAAAGTGGCCAGGTTTAATAGAAATATAAGAATACTAGAGAGAGAGCTATTCTAACCAACACCTGAATTCTAGACAGTCTATATAGCAAAAACTCAAAACTACATTTTGCTTTTAGTTGACTTTAGAACCAGATGGCAATATGCTAAAAGTGCATGCAAAATTATCACTCTACTTATTCACTGTAAACTAGAAAGCATGCATGGATACCTAAAAAAGTTACTTTGGACTATGTCAAAACTGGCACGTAGCTTTTGTGAAGCCAAATCTGCATTTGTTTGACGCTACATGAAATAAGTTGATACTAAAGTTTTAAAGGGTTTGCAGACCCATACTTATGCTGATTTCTAAACGCACCAGTCTAAAAGCAGAATTTAATATTCTGAAACACTGTCAAGTAAAATCTAAAAAAGCTTAGTAAAGTTGCTTTAAAAAGTTTACTTTACTTTTAAAAGCATCTGTTGCTCCAGGTGCATGGTTTTTGTCTGGATGAAACTTCAAAGCAAGCTTTCTATAAGCTTTTTTCAAATCTTCATCACCAGCATCTTTTGTAACTCCAAGTACTTCATAGTAATTTTTACATTTGTTAATGCTGTAAACAAGAAAGTGTATTACAATGTAAATTTCAAGGAAGAATGTCATATAGTATCTCTAATTTTCAATTTATTAAAATAGTATAAAGAACTATCTGTGAATTGTTTTCTCAAAATCTAATGATGGCTTATCCCTTTAAGGGTTGGTTTGCTTCATTCTCTTGACTGGTCATAGACCATTCCTTCAATCTCTTTTCAGTCTAAGGAGAATGATCCATGAGAATGTCCTTAGTGCAATTTATCACAACTAAAGAGAAGTAAAGCAAAGAACATAACTGTAGATGAAGGACAGCACATTCATTGTAACTAAAATGGAAGAGTAAGAACAATTTATAGTACATTTCGATGGATTAAAAAAAAATTCCAAAACTGCCCAAAAATATGTCAAAGCTAAAAATAAATATACATTACATTCCAAGAATTTTGTTATTGCATAATGTAGATCTAATGAAGTATCAGTGCAACAGTTTAGGTATGTAAATCAAAGAAGTATCCTATGGTTTATTCCTGAAGGTACATTAATTCAGCATGATTATGCTAATGAGAATTTATCTGAAACTCTATGAAGAAGACACTGGGTCTTTTGTAGATAAAATACAACAAGGGACTAAAAAATGTTTGTTACACTTCATTTCCACTGTGATGAGCACACTCCTAAAGATGATTTACATAGTGTATACCTGAAAGATGAAATAGACTTAAGCCTAGAGTACTTAAAGTACATTAATAGCTGAAAAAGAAAACTCTGAATGGAGTAAGACTGTTAAGTACCTTGGTATGCCAGCATTATCACACATCCGGAGTTGTAGATCAGTGGTAGAGTGTACACAGCATGTGTGAGGCTCTGAGTTCAATCGCCAACATCAAAAGAGACATGGTACAGTTTCAAAATTTTTTGTACTTTGCAACTTTAGTTGTGTTCTATGTATGTATGTCTTGACAGTAGTAGTAATGGGTAAAATAATCTGAGGCATAATTGGTCACAGGTAACAAAAGAACTTCAAAGACTGACTCAGAAAAGACACAAGGCTCATCTTTTTAATTAACTACTAAACTTACTTGCCATCACAGTGCTTGTTACATGGAAGGTTCTCAGATATTTTTTTTTTAAGTGAATGAGCCTTAGCTCTCCTTTAATAATGAAAGCATTCATTCTCTGTTATATGAACTGAGGTGTTGGCAAGGGGCAGGAGGGGGATGAGTGGGAGAAGGCATTATATATAAGAGTATAGAAATGTATAAAATTTTTATAATCACACCAACAAGAATCTGTTATACCACCTTCTTTATAAAATTAATAAAAATTAAAATTCTATTTTTTTTCTACTTTAATACTTTAGATATAAACACAAGTCAGTTTTACTTCAAAAACACAACACTTCTTCTATTCAGTCAATCATACTTAATTGAATAGCAACTATGCCCCAATGTTCTAGGCACTTGAAATACATTAGTAAACAAAACAGAAATCTTCACCTCTGGAGACTCATTTTCTTAGATATGTTTAGCAACTATTTAACAGGAAATAAAGAGGGGAGGGTGGCACTCACCCTAATACCTATATCCATGGTTACCTAATACCTATGTCCATAAAGCTTGAAAAATTATTTTAAAACCTGACTTGAATTTCTTTTAGAGGCAAAAATCTAACCCAAAATTAATGTGATGCATAATTCAGTCTTCATTTATCCAATTTGGGTGAAGAGTTGCATGTTTTGCTGTCAAAGTGTTGCTACTTGTATATGGTATATGGGCTGCTGCTCCAGATCCTGCTGTTATATAATGTAGACATCTATAGACATCTATAATTATCATTAATTTTCTAAAAGATGAATAATTCTAAGTTCCAAACTATTTGGTCACAAAGATTTCATATAAAGAATTAAAGGAGTTTTATTGTGCTGATTATTTTATACAAATTACTTCATTTATTATTACTATTCCTATTTTTAAAAAATATTTATTTTTTTTAGTTGTAGTTGGGATACAATACCTTTATTTTATTTATTTTTATGTGGTGCTGAGGATTGAACCCAAGGCCTCTCACGTGCTAGGCGAGTGCTCTACCGCTGAGCCACAACCCCAGCCCCTACTATTCCTATTTTGCCAATGAGGAAATCAAGGCTTT